TGTGTGTGTGTGTGTGTGTGTGTGTGTGTGTCAAACTTTGTTTGATCTGTGTTCCTTTTTCCCTCTCAGAAGATACTGATTGCGAGGTCAATACTGTTGATAGTTTCATGCTTACATTATTTCGATTTCACTCATGCATCTCAAGTAACTGTACTTTTCTCTGAACCTCTGCAGTCAAGGACTGAAATATATTCTAGAGATGATACTTCACTCTGCCGTTTTAACAAACAGTTGGTCTGCCCGGGCCCAAAGACCAATATTCTCTATTTTCGTCCGCCGTTGTTTTACATCAGCTGAACTTTCACCTTCCGTTAATCCCCCTAAGGTCTCACATATAGATGGAGACTCCAATGATTTTCTCTCGTGGCTCGAGCACAAGGCCGGGACAAAAATCTCATCTGCACTAGCAATTGGGAACTCGTCCCACGGCAGGACACTGTATGCAGCAGAGGATATTCAATCAGGAGATTGCATACTGAAGATTCCCTTCAATGTCCTGCTGTCTTCAGATAATCTTCCCCCGGAAATAAATTCCCTATTTGGAGATGAAATTAGTAGTGTGGCCAAACAAGCTTTACTCATTCTGCATGAGAAATGGCTTGGGAAAAATTCTGAATGGGCGCCTTACATAAATTGCCTTCCTCGCGATTTGCACAACACGGTTTTCTGGAGCGATGAGGAATTAGATATGATCCGGCCTAGTGCTTTGTATCGAGAAACACTCAGGCAAAAGGCTCAAATCGAAAAAGATTTTTCAGCTGTTAAATTGGCGTTTCATAATATTTCCTACCAATTTCCTTATGTTATGCCTCGAGAGTTTGCATATGCATATGGGTTGGTTACATCCCGTGCATGGGTAGGCTTGAGGGGCGTGTCAATGATTCCATTTGCAGATTTTTTAAATCACAGTTGTAATTCAGAGTCGTACGTTTTGAGTGATGAAAGCCAACAGCACTCTGTGGTCATAGCTGACCGTGACTTTGCTTTAGGGGACGAGGTTCTGATAAACTATGGCAACTTCTCAAATGCTTCTTTACTGTTGGATTTTGGTTTTACAGTTTGTGGCAACAAATATGATCAGGCTCAGATCGAGCTTACGGTACCTCAGAGTGATGTACTTTATGAGAAGAAGCTGGAACTTCTCGAAAGGCATCAGACTCCAAGCGTAAAAGACATTAATGAATTCACCTCTTTGGGTAACGCATTCACTTTCAGGAAAGTGAAAAACGACAGTCTAAAGGGGAAAGGCATTCCACAGTCGGCACGTGCGTTTTCTCGCATTTTAGCTTGTCATTCTCAAGAAGAGTTAAACGAGCTGGCTTTAGTAGCTGAAGAGAATGATGGGCGGCTGGCCAGGTGTCCTCTAAAGGATAAGAATCGGGAGATTGCTGCGCATCGGCATTTGTTTACTGAAATTTCGCGGTTGATTGAAGAATATGATAAACGTATTGAGTTTCTAGCTTATGCTCCGATGTGTACTTGTGGAAAGAGTGCTACGAGGAGGCAATTGGCTCGAGAGCTGTTGAGCGGCGAGTCGTGTGTTCTGAAATCTGCTGCTGTGTGGCTTGAGAACTACTGTTTGGCCTTGTCGATGAACCGATGATACTCTT